TTTTTTAGTGTGTGTCTCCATTAATGGCTGCAAATATTAAGCTAATTTATCGAGTTTGAGTGATTTTGCAGCTGGGTTTTAGTGTAAAGGCAAAACCCTTTGTAAAAAATTTCTGGGTATGTGATTTAATCCTTTAATGTCTGAGAGAAATCGTTTCCTCTTTTGAGTTTCATTCTTAAATCTAAAGTTATCATCTTTTTTTGTTTCTGTTGCTTGCAGAGTTTTTCTCCTGAATGTTGCTTTGGCAAAACAAAAAAAAAACATTTTTTTAAAAAATTTCTGTTGCTACCAAAAATTTCATATTTCTGGTAATTTCATATGAAAAACTCGAAAAGTAGAGATTTTTTTTTAGCTTTGTTTGTGTATTTTGATTCATTACTTCTTCCTTTTTGTTTGAGGGCAAAGTTTGATTAGTTTTGAAAGACTTTTGCTTTTGCTCTCTCTAATAATGCTCTTCTTGTTTTGTTAATTTTGATCCGAAATGGTTTGGTGATGAAGAATCTGCCTCTCTTGATACACTCTCCTAAAGTCTGCAGTTTTCAATTTTCTATTGAATTATGCTCTGATCATAATTTTTTTTTTATGAAACTAAAATAAAAAGGATGGGCTTTGACTTGATTTTACATGGTTTACTTTGAACCAACCATAATGGTGCTTTTGTTCATGATTATTTACATTGTGATTAACTGATTTCTTGTTTATGAATCCTCTACTTTCCTGCTGAAATGTTATATATTTGGTGAACTCAAGTGTACTAGATAGTGGAAACTATGTATATGGTTCATTTCTGAAGCTTTTTGTTCTTTCTCCAGGAAGATCCCAGTGTGTGTTTATCAATTCTTACATATAAGAACCAAAGTGGTATTTAGCATTTGGTACATATCCACAGTGCAAAGGTTTGTTTGCATTAGGAAAGCAATTTAAATGTTCTGTAACTTCGATTGTTCACTTGCTTATACGGTCACACTGTTTCAGTTTTGTAGAGTTCCTAGTTTTGAGAATACTTAGTAGAAGGGGATCAAAGGGATCAAGAAGTTGACTTTGGTGTGGTTTAAATTTGATCACTCGAATAAGGACTCGACCCGTTGTTACCAGTGCTTCTTGCGGCTGTTGTTATGGCCAATACGTCGCAGTCAGAATCCAGGCGGTTATACTCGTGGTGGTGGGATAGTCACATTCCTAAAAACTCAAAATGGATTCAGGAGAATCTTGCAGGTTCCCTCTCTATCTTCTTGACTTCTCCTCGCGTCTTAAATGAGTCGATTGTGCGAAAATCGATTTGTGTGTTTCTCTCGCCAATTAATTTAAGAGGAAATATTTGTTTGTGTTGAACTAGATATGGATTCCAAAGTGAAGACAATGATAAAGCTTATAGAAGCAGATGCAGATTCGTTTGCAAAGAGGGCAGAAATGTACTACAAGAAACGTCCTGAGCTCATGAAGTTGGTGGAAGAGTTATACAGAGCTTACCGTGCTTTAGCTGAGAGGTATGATCACACAACAGTGGAGCTTCGTCGAGCGCATAAAACCATGGTTGAGGCGTTTCCTAACCAGATTCCTTTCGACATGATTGAGGATTCTACGTCATCTTCTTCTGAGCCGCACACGGAAGATCTGCAAAATGATGGTGCTACAAGTAAAAGGAGTTTAAGTCAGTCGAACGGATTATGTGGAACGTCTGACGCTCATGAAGGAGATAGTGAAGTTGAAGGCTTAAAGAGAACATTGCTTGAGCTTCAGACTGAAAAGGAGGCGTTGAATCTCCAATATCAGCTATGCTTGAACAAGCTATCCATATTCGAAAAGGAACTCAACGATGCTCAAAAGGATGTTAGAGGATCTGATGAACGTGCTTGCAAAGCTGAGATTGAGATTAAAATACTCAAGGAATCACTTGCAAAACTAGAGGTCGAGAGGGATACTGCGCTTCTTCAGTATACTCAATCCGTGGAGAGAATAGCGGATTTGGAAGCATCGGTTTCTCATTCGCAGGAACATGCGAAGGGGCTCACTAACCAAGCATCTAAAGCAGAAAGAGAAGCCATGAGTCTCAAGCAAGAGCTTTCTAGATTGCAATCTGAGAAGGAAGCTGGCTTGGCCCGATACAATAGATGCCTTGAGTTGATATCTGCTTTAGAAAAGAAAATTAGAGATGCTGAGGAGAGTGTTAAAGTGTTCAGGGACCAATCTGAACAAGCGGAAAATGAGATCAAAGCTTTAAAACAAGAACTTCTGAAGCTGAAAGAAGTGAACGAAGACTTGAATGTTCGATATCAGCAGTGTTTGGAGACAATATCAAATCTAGAAAGAGAAGTTTCTCATGCTCAAGACAACGCCAAAAGACTGAGCAGTGAAGTTCTTGCTGGAGCTGCAAAGGTAAAGACTGTGGAGGAACAATGCGCTCTTTTGGAGAGCTTCAATCAAACTCTGAAGGTAGAAGCAGACAATCTAGCGAAGAAAATGTCGACCAAAGATCAAGAACTTGTCCAGAAGCAAAATGAGCTTGAAAAGCTTCAAGCTCTAATAGAAGAAGGACACTTGCGGTTTTCAGAACTTGGAGCTAGCCTTAGAAATTTGGAGAGTTTGCATTCTCAATCCCAAGAGGAACAGAAAGTTCTCACCTTGGAACGTGAAAGCAAGATTCAAATGTTGAGAGAACTAGAGATGCGCAATCATAAGTTGGAAGGTGACATCAGCTCAATCGAAGAAGAAAACCGAAACTTAAGCAAATCAAATGACTCTTCTACAATCTCCTTGCAGATTCAGCAAAATGAAATCTCTTGCTTGAAAGAGATGAAAGAAAAACTCGAGGAAGAAGTTGCAAAACAGATGAACCAGAGCAGTGCCCTTCAAGTAGAGATCCATTGTGTGAAGGGTAATATTGAAGACTTGAATAGGAGATACCAAAAATTAATTGACCAAGTGAGACTCACAGGTTTGGATCCCGAATCTCTTTCCCACTCGGTAAAGAGACTACAAGACGAGAACTCGAAGCTGCTCAAGTTATGTACCACTCAGAGAAATGATAAAGATGCTGTTACAGGAAAGCTGTGTGAAATGGACAGCATTCTAAGGAGGAACGCTGAGTTGGAGAAATTACTTTTGGAGTCAAACACAAAACTAGATGGTTCCAGGGAGAAGACAGTGGATCTTCAAGAAAGATGTGAATCTTTACGAGGAGAGAAATCTGAGCTTGCTGCCGAGAGAGCTAACTTGTTTTCCCAGTTGCAAACCATGACTGCGAATATGCAGACGCTCTTGGAAAAGAACTCTTCATTGGAGAGATCCCTTTCCTGTGCAAACATCGAGCTTGCGAGTCTAAGAGATAAGTCAAAACGCTTTGAAGATTTCTTCGAGTTGCTCAAAAAAGATAAGACTGAACTTATAAAGGAAAGAGAAGTTCTTGTCTCTCAATTATATAAGGTTGAGGAGAGGCTAGGAGTCTTGGAGAAGAAGTTTACAGAACTGGAAGTAAAATTTGCCGATTTACAGAGCGACCGTAGGCTCAAAAACCTTCTAGTAGAAGAGTTACAGGTCTCACTTGCCACTGAGAAGCAGGAGTCTGCTGATTACAAACGATCGACTGACAGCAGATTAGCAGATCTTCAGAAGAATGTGAGCTTTCTTCGGGAAGAGTGTCGCTCGAGGAAAAGAGAGTTCGAGGAAGAGCTTGACAGAGTTGTAAACAAACAAGTGGAGATCTTCATCTTGCAAAAGATTATAGAAGATTTGGAGCAGAAGAATTTCTCTCTCCTGATTGAGTGTCAAAAGTATGTAGAAGCATCGGAATTTTCGGAGAAACTCATTTCCGAGCTAGAAAGTGAGAATCTTGAGCAGCAGATGGAAGCAGAAATCTTTTTGGACGAGATTGATAGCTTGAGAGGTGTAATCTCTCAAGTGGTAAAGGCACTTCAAGTCGAAGCAGAGTGTAAGAATTCAGAAAAGAAGATTACGAAAGAACAGATTTCAGCTTCACGTGTATTGGGAGAGATTAATGGCCTAAAATGTTCACTTTCGAACGCTGAATATGAGATGCAGCGACTTGTAGTTGAGAACTCGGTGCTCTTATCTCTATTTGGACAATTCCAATCAGATGGTTTGGTGCTGGAATCGGAGAAGAACATCCTCGAAAAAGATCTGAAGACTGTAATACAGAAGTATGGAATGCTTGAAAAGGACAAGCAAGAGCTATTGGAGGCGAACCGGTTGTTGAAATCGAAACTGATCGAAAGAGAGCAGAAGGAGCAAGAGCTAAGAGCTGAACTGAAAATGGAGCATTTAAAGTTTGAAAGTTTGCATAAGTCATACATGGTTTTGCAACAAGATTATTCCTATACACTCAACGATAACAAAGCTTTGCGTCTGAAATTCTCGGAACTTAAAGATGGAATGTGTATAGTTGAGGAAGAAAATGGTGCAATTCTTCAGGAAGCTGTTGCTTTGAGTAACATGTGTGTGGTTTACAAGTCCTTTGGGTCTGAAATGGCTGAGGAGCTCGAAGCTTTTGTTGAAACTCTGAGCAGTTTACGAGAAATTAATACGGGCCTGAAGCACAAGGTTGAGACACTGGAGGAGAAGTTAAAAGTTAAAGAGGTAGAGAATCAAGGTCTTAACAAGATGCTTGAGAAGTTACAGGAAGGCATTGAAGAAGAAGACTTCTTAAATGGACTCTTCGAACATCAGATTTTTAATGTCGATGGAATCTTGGAGCAGAAGGCAATAGAGATCATAGAAGCAAAACAGATGCTCAAGGCTACAGACAATGCAAATGAAGAACTTCACAAAGAAGTTGAGGAGCTGAAGAACAACTGTGAAGAATCAAGACGAATGAGGGGAAATTTAGAGAGGCGGATTTCCGAACTGTCGGATCTTGCTGGAAGACAGGAGGAAGAGATTAGAAAACTTAACAATTTGAATGATAATTTGGAGTCAGAGGTAGAGTTGTTACACGAAGAAATCCAACGACAACAAGTTCGAGAGGAGTACCTGAGTTTAGAGCTGCAAGAGAAAAGCAATGAGGTTGGACTTTGGGATGCTGAAGCAACATCTTTCTACTTTGAGCTTCAGATATCAGCTGTCCGTGAACTCTTGCTTGAGAACAAAGTTAGCGAACTCACTGGAGTTTGCGAAAATCTCAAAGACGAAGCTGATACAAAGACAATGAAGATTGAACAGATGAAAGAAACAGTTGGCTTTTTGGAATCTCAAGTCACTGAGCTAAAGACTCAATTGTCAGCTTATGATCCTGTGATAGCATCTTTGGCAGAAGGTGTAAAATCCCTTGAGAAAAGTACTCAGGCTTTAACGAACCTTCCTGCACCAGCCTATCAACAAAGAGAGGTAAAGTTTCTCACTCTTCCTTCTACTTCAAATGTTAAAACTCATATTTTTCGCTGTCCCGGTCTTCGTGATCTAAACCCATCCATTTTCTTTAGGGCGTACATCTTGAAGAAGCTGTAAGTGGAGAGCCTGAAGAAAGTGGCAGTATTACCACCCCAGGCAATGGAATTGTGATTCTGAAGGAAATGAAACCGAGTGTTAAGATCATCGAACAAGCAGTTGTTGAAGAGAAAGACAGGCTTGCAAGGCAAAGAACAAAAAGCTCCTCCCACCGAAGCAGAGACCGCAAGAAGGTTGAAGAGATACAACTTGAGGACAAGGTCTCTGGTGAATCTAGACAACCAAGATCGAGACATATTCCTCTTAATCAAGACGCAGACTCTTTGTTCTCCGGCAGAAGCCAGGGAAGTAGTCATGGTTCCAATGACAAGATAGTTGAGTCATGGGAAGAATCTATTGAATCAGATGCCAGTATAAAGTTTCTTATCAAAAGTAACGAACATAAGAGGCCATTGAACTCCGGTCTCCATCGCCTAAGTCGGAATCCCTCTGTAGAATCTGATAAAGTGGTTGGAGTTGTGGACAAGCTAGAGTTATCTAGAAGCACTGACGACAAGGCAAAGATTCTGGAGAGGCTTTTGTCTGATTCAAGGAGACTTGCAAGTCTCCGGATTAGCCTAACAGATATGAAAATCAAGCTGGAGACAAATGAGAAACAAGGCAGATTCAGAAACCCCGATTTGATTATAGTGAAGAGACAGTTGAAAGAAATGGAAGAAGCTGTATTGCAGCTGACAAACACAAATGAGATTCTTTCAAAAGAAATTGAAGAGACGGGAGGTGCCAGAGATATATACATAAAGGTGGTTACGGAGAAGTCAAGAAATGGTTCTGAGAAGATAGAGCAGCTGCAGAATAAAATGCAGAACATTGAGCAAACAGTACTGAAGCTTGAAGATGGAGCCAAAGGCAAAGGAAGCAAAAAGTTCTCAGAGAGTAGGACAGTGATTCTCTTGAGAAACATTATTCACAAGGGCGGAAAAAGGACAGGGAGAAAGAAGAAAAACCGTTTCTGCGGGTGTATAAGGTCATCGGCTAAAGAAGAGTAGAGTGGTTCATAAGGTAACAATATCTAGTGTTTTATAGATTGTCATAAAGAATAAAGATCTTCTTTGAACCGACTTTAGAAGAATTATATGGTATATATGTTTTCTGAAATATTGGAGCAGTTAGCCTAAGATATATGTTAAAATCAAGCTAAAGAGAAACATGGCTGATCCTCGTTAGAGCGAAGAGACAGTTGAAAGAAATGAATATGTTTACACAGTAGCTTTAGATAATTCTTCTAGTTCAGTAGACAAGAACAACAAGGGAAGAAACCTATATATTACACGAAATATTCGGTTCTTTATTACACAACCACTTGACTACAGGCTCAAATGTGCTAAAT